GCTAAGCCATGTCACCAGCCCCCTCCCCTCTCCTCCCCTCGCTCCCCTCCCCATCCCCGTCTCCCCTTTCTTTTCCTCTTTCCTTCCCCATCCTTTCCCTCCTTCCACTCCTTTCCCCTTGCCATTTCCTTCCCTCCCCTGTTCTCCCGTCCCTTCTTTCCTCCATTTGCCTTCTTCCTTTCCCTTTTTCATCTCTTCTCTCTTGTCCTCTCTCCTCTCTTCTTTTTCTTTCTTCTGGGGATTAAACCCAAGTTTTTCATGCTACGCACGTGCTCCGCAACAGATACATATCCTCAGCCTAACCTTGAGCTCATTTTTTAGCCCAGTCACAACTTGAACTTTAGAGCTGGGATTATAGGCTGGTAGCGTCGGGCCTGATTACTAGCCAGCCATTGCTTCCCTCCTCTGTATATTGGCCACATCCTGATATGTGGCACTTACTTTGCAACTGGATTATGTTTCTGATTTTTAAATTTACATTCCTTAAAAACAGGACAATTTTCATGGTCTATGCATTTGATCATAAAAATAAATTCTCAGGGCTGAGACTGTAGCTCACTTGTTAGAGTGTTTGCTTGGCATGTGCTGGGGTTTGGTCTCCAGTACATATAAACCGCATAAGCACACCAATAATCCCTCTGAGATACCGACTCAAAAAATAAAATAAAATAAAATAAAGGCATAGTTTTGATATGGTTAAGTAGTAGAGTGGCCTAAGTGAAGACTGAAAGATACCTCAGTGTGGGTAGGTGCTTTCACTTATGATCCCTGTTCATTTGACTTAACCTCTTCAGTCTGCAACTTTAAGTTCCAATTGTGTGCCAAAGGCAAAAGAACTCTCAGGCCTTGTGGAAGCTTTTCTATAGGGAGGCACCTAAAATTTTTGCTGTTTATATTCATTAATCCTTTAATGAGTCATTTAAAAAAATCTCATCTGGCCATGTATCTTAACACTTATTTGAAATCTGTAAGTTAAAAACGAAGTGAATAAGCCAGGTGTGGTGGCACATACCTTTAAAATACTAGTACTTGGGAGGCAGAAGCAGATGGCTCTCTGTGAGATTGAGACCAACCTGTTCTACATAGGGAGTTCTAGGCCAGCTGGGGCTACAGGGAGGCCATGTCTCAACCCTGCCCCCCAAGAACAAAGAAACCAAAATAAAGTGAACCATGTTCTTTTGTGCCAAAGAGAAAGGCTGCAGGGTCATAGCAAACTTTATTTTTTGTTTCTTTTTTTCTTACGATTTATTTTTTAGGGGCTGGCGAGATGTTTCAGTGGTTAAGAGCACGTCCTCCTCTTCAGAGGATCTGGCTTCAGTTCCCAGCACCCACATGACAGCTGACAACTGTAACTCCAATTCCAGGGGACACAGCTTTCTCTTCTGATATCTGTGCGTGATGCTGCATGCATGTAGTATACTTACATGCAGGCAGAACACTCAAACACATAAAATGTAAATAAATAAATCTTAAAAAATATGTTTATGTGTGTGTGTGTACACATGCACATGCATTTAGTGTCTGCAGGGGCCAGAAGGTGTCAGATCTCCTGGACCTGGGTTTGTAGGTGATCATGATCCACCTGATGGGAATGCTGGGACAGAACTCCAGTTCTCTGTAAGAGTAGCAAGCACTCTTAACTGCTGAGCCTTTTGTTCTAGTTTGTTCTTCATTGATGTGACAAAATACTCTGACCAGTACCAACTTGGGGAGGAAAGGGTTTATTTGTCTTATATCTCCTAGGTCGCAGTTTATCAGGGAGCCCAAGGTAGAAATTCAGGGCAGGAACCTGGAGGCAGGAGCTGGAGCACAGGCCATAGAGGAATGCTGCTTACTGGCTTGCTCCCCTGGCCCCTGCTCAGCCTGCTTTCTTATGGAACATAGGCCCACCTGCCCAGGGGTGGCACCACTCACAGTGGGCTGGGCCCTCCCACATCACTCATCAAGAAGATGCCCCTCAGACATGGCCACAGACCAGTCCAGTAGAGGCAATTCCCCAGTTAAGGCTCCCTCATCCCAGGTGTGTCAAGTTGACACTAAAGCTATCCAGCACACCATCTCTCCAGCCAGAACCCTTTAAAAAAATTTTTTTATTATTTTTATTTTATGTGTATGAATGTACTGCTTGCATGTGTGTAAGTGCACCCGTGTTGTGCAGTGCCTGAGGAGGTCAGAGAAGGTGTCAGATCCCCTGGAACTGGAGCTGCAGATGGTTGTTAAACACCGTGCGGGTGCTGAGAATTGAGCCCGGGTCCTCTGCAAGAGCAGTCAGTGCTGTTAACCAATGAGCTATCTCTCCAGCCCCAGAGCCCCCCTTTTTTAAGATAGGAAAGACTTGAACATATTTTTATAGAGTAAAGTGTTCTTGTATTTTAAAAATTGTATTAAAGATTCTGAAATAGAAAGGATAATTTATGTAATGATATTTCATATAGACAAGAGGGAGATAGGATCCGATTCAAAGATGCCCATTCCTTTGAGTTTGAGAAGAGCGATGAAGGTACAGTGGGTATAGGTCAGTGTGTAACTTAGGGACTGGAGATTCAGAGAAAGCCAAGCAAACATTCTGTGGTTACTCTGAAGTAGGGAGTAAAGTCTTATTAGAGAGATTGACATGACAGCTAGACAGGGGATCTGGCAAGCCAGAATGGCTATAGTGGGAAACGGCGAGTCAGGGGCAATTTGCTGAGAAACCTGTGGACTTGGTCATGCCGGGAGTCATCTCTGTTCATTCTGTTATGTACGCGTGTCCAGCATAGCTTTGTTATTTATTTGAGGATCTTTATTGAATCAGCATGATGGTCTGTCTTGGCCACCAGCCTGTGCTCTTTGGAAAGACCTGTGTTAACAGGGCTTGCCTGCCTTTCCAGACAGGGGCTCAGCTACCCACAAAGCATTCCTGCTTCATCGTCTTTGCTAGAGGATGAGGAAGATGGCCAAAGAAAAGAATGTAGCCCTATCTCAGGCTGCAGCATCCCCTAGGTCACAAAGTAGTAGCACCGGGGAAAGAACAGCAGCTACTAGGTTATTATTACTAATGGGATACAGGCCCTATTGGACCGTCTTAAAGTAGTTCTAAAGGCAATTAATTAAAATGACTTAATCTTTCAGTGCCAAACCCCTCAATCACACAGAAGCTGTTCAGAAAGCAGAGCAAAATGATGTTTGTTTTTGTCCCTTGACCGAGACATAGGCCTTTCCCCTCTAGGAGCACCTGGGAGTATGGATCACGCAGGGGCTTCCAAAATGTGCGGAGAGGAGCCATTTAGGTGGGTCACCCCCATATGTGTCCATGGCTGCCTGAAGGACTCCAATCCAAATGCAACAACCCTAGAAGGAGCAATACCTTTGGAAGGCACTGGGCATTTTGGCAGATGAAAGCATATGGGGAAAGAGGGCAGTAAGTCTTGAAAAGAGAGAGCATTGTTAGTAGAAATGCAGTGGGGAAATGCTTACATCGATCCTGAGGATTATTAGAGCAGGTACAGAGGAATTGAAGATGTAAAATGAAATAATTGAGAGATGAGCCTATATAATCCAATCTAGATATAAAAGAAACAAGAAGGGAGGGGCTCTGACAGACTCTGGGCGAGAAGTCAGGGAATCTTCAGTCTCAGCGGTGTTGAAGATCAGATGAGCACAATCTGAAGGATGGGAAGTGTATGTCAGAATTTAAAGATAGAAAAGCATGGCTCTGAAGTGTTGTAGAATTACAGAAATACTAGAATTGTCTCAGATTATGGAAGATGAGAACATTCTATTTAAAAGTTGGTCAAAGAAATTATTTCCTAGTGAGGTTCGGTGCTTTATGGACAAGAGGTGGGGAGATGCATTAGTTACCTTTCTGTTGCTGTGATAAAACACTATGATCAAGGCAACTTATGGAAGAGTTTATTTTAGCTTAAGGTTCCAAAGGGTTAACAGTTCATCATGGTAGAGAGGCAAGGTGGCAGGCATGATGGCAGAAAGCAAAAGCTGAGAGCTCAAATCCCCAGTGGCAAACAGGAAGCAGAGAAACTGGAAGGCTATGAACTTTCAAAGCTAGCCCCCAGTGACGTACTTCCTCCAGCATACCTCCTTAAAGTTCCATGAGTTGAAAGTTGAAACCAGAGTTGCACAAAGTAATACCATCATGGATGATGATGAAGATGATAATGATTTTGCTTTAAAAAAAATTTTTTTTTTTTTTTGGTTGTTGTTTTGAAACAGCCCCAGCTGGCCTGGAACTTGCTGTGTAGACCAGACTAGTCTTAATCTCACAGAATCACCTCTACCTCCAGAGTGCTGGGATTAAAGATGTATGCCACTTATCTGGCTCAGTTTTTAAAAAACATGATCTTTAAAATGTATTTGAGTGTGAGGCCAGGTATGGTGTAATCCCAGCATTCAGGAGACTGAGACAAGAACATCACAAGCTCAAGGCTAGCTTGAGCTATATATTGAAACCAACCTGTAGCTATGTAGTGAGACAGTGTTTCAAAAACAGCAAACAGAAAATAATACCTATATATGAATCCTTATAGTACTTTATAATGAGATCAGAGTGACCATGTTTTAAATTTGTGCAACCAAAAGTTTGTTCATTATCTTAAGGTAATATATAAGAGTTCTTACGCTGGATGTGGTGGTATATGCCCTGTATCCCAGTCTTCAGGTTGCCAAGGCAGGAGAGCTGTGAGTTCAAGACCAACCTGGGTTATGTAGTTAGGTTCTGCCTTAAAAATAGGCTGGAGTGGGGCAGCCCCTCCCCAGAGGTGGGGGGGGTTCTGTGCCATCCTGCACCGCACCATGCTGTGGGCAGCTATGGAGCGAGCTTGAGGCCCGGCAGAAGGAAAAGAAACACCTATCTCTAGACCTAAAGAATCTTGGGAGTGCTTGAGGAATTGTGTAGGTGCTTCAGTGAAGACATATAATTATGGCGTCTCCCTGCTAATCATCACCATCTGTTCTCCCCGATAAGCTAGAGAGGGTGGGTCAGGGGAGAAGGAAAAGAGGTCGGCATGAAGCTAAAGCAACGAGTCCTGCTGTTAGCAACACTCCTTGTCATCTCTATCTTCACCAAAGTTTTCCTGATTGATAACTTAGATACATCTGCTGCCAACCGAGAAGACCAGAGGGCTTTTCACCAAACGATGAGTGGCTTGCAGGTGGAGTTGGTACCTAAGCTGGACCACACCCTGCAGTCTCCTTGGGTAATTGCAGCCCAGTGGGTAGTGCCCTGGGAAGTGTACCCTGAAGAGCCTCCAGAGCTGGGGGCAATCATGCATGCCATGGCCACTAAGAAAATCATTAAAGCTGATGTGGGCTATAAAGGGACCCAGCTAAAAGCTTTACTGATACTTGAAGGAGGACAGAAAGTTGTCTTCAAACCTAAGTGATATAGCCAAGACTATGTGGTAGAAGGGGAGCCATATGCTAGCTGTGACAGACACAATGCAGAGGTAGCAGCCTTTCATTTGGACAGGATTTTGGGTTTCCATCGAGCTCTCTTGGTGGTTGGCAGATTTGTTAATCTGTGGACAGAGATCAAGCCTGTTGCCACGGAGCAGCTGTTGAGCACCTTCCTAACTATAGGAAACAATTCTTGTTTTTATGGGAAGTGCTATTACTGCCAAGAAACAGAGCCAGCATGTGCTGATGGAGACACAATGGAGGGATCCATCACACTTTGGTTTCCAGATGTGTCGCCTCTGCAGAAACATCGACACCTCTGGGGCAAATTGGCCAGATGGGAATATGATGAGAGCTACTGTGATGCTGTGAAGAAAACATCTCCCTATGACTCAGGCCCTCATCTCTTGGGCATCATTGACACTGCTGTCTTTGATTATTTGATTGGTAATGCTGACCGCCATTGCTATGAAAGCATTCAAGACGGTGAAGGTGTGAGTATGCGTATTCTTCTTGATGATGCCAAAAGCTTTGGGAACCCGTCGCTGGATGAGAGAAGCATTCTTGCCCCACTCTACCAGTGTTGCATCATTTGGGTTTCTACGTGGAATAGACTGAACTACCTAAAGAATGGAGTGCTAAAGTCTGCCTTAAAATCTGCCATGGTCCATGACCCCATCTCCCCCATGCTCTCTGATCCTCACTTGGGTGCTGTGGACCAGTGGCTTCTGAGTGTCCTGGACACCATGAAGCAGTGCACTGAGCAGTTTTGGATGGACACTGTGCTGGTGGAAAACAGGTTGCCTCTCTCCCACTTGTAATTGTCAATACAAAATAAGTGAAACTTGTTTTTACAAGTATAAACAGCACAGTCAATTCCAAATGGCATGCAAGGCCGGGAAGTGGCCAGCAGCAAGCTGTGGTGGCAGAGGACAGAGTAGTCTTGGAAGCACTTGTGTCCTCTGTAGTGGAAGTTAAAGCAAAGACTACAAGTTTGAGAGCACAAGCCTTGTCTGTGGAATCACCTTCTGACTCCTCAGCATTTCTGGCAGCACACCAGCTTTGGTCAGTCTTTATTCCCATGGCAAAGGATGAACAGAACAGTGACATTTGGATAGGGGAATCCTGTATTGCTTCCAGAGTGTGTGTTTTGAGTGAACCTTGCAGTTCTTTCCCGCACCTGTGAATTTAAACACTGCAATCTCTTTTGTCTTTTTCTTTTAACCATGACCAAATTGGAAAACTTACTGCCTCTTCCAGAGTGGCAGCAAATAAAACCTTTCATTCTGTTGATCAAAAAAAAAAAAAAGCTGGGAGGGGCACTTGGGTGTACCTCAGGGTTTTTGCCTAGCATGCCTACTGCCTTGGCTTCAACTCCTAGTACCACAATACAAACAACAAACCTACACAAAATAAAGAGAAGAGAGTTCTTGAACTTACCTTGAACTTCAAGATAAACTGTGTACTTTACTTTTAAACAGTGTTCCGAATTTTTTGACTGTTGAGGGGATCAGGGGTGATAAATAGTTGTGAGTATTCTGTATTGCTGTATTGCAACATCTTTCTGTTCATTTAACATTTTTTATTTATTTTGAGATAGGGTCTTATTCTATAGCCTAGGGTGGCCTCAAACTCATAATACTGTCTCTGCTGGGACTATAGGTATGTGGCAATATGCCTTGGTTCACATAGCATTTTGTAAGAATTCTTTTGGTTTAAGGAAAAGAAGTTTTTTTGGTCTTTTTGAGACAGGGTCTCCCTGTAGCCCCAGCTGGCCTGGAACTTAGTATGTAGACCAGGCTGGCCTCAGACTCACAGAGATCTGCCTGCCTCTGCCTTCCAAGTGCTGGAACTAAAGGTGTGTGCCACCATGCCTGGCTGAAAAGAAAACATTTTAACTCAGTGAAAAAGTAACTGCTTTCTGGAAAAAAAATTTGCTGTGTGGAGATGATTTTGAAAAGAACTATTCCTATTAATATGTGATTTTCTTGCCAAAGATAAACTCCCATTGACACACTTGGGAACAGTTTTCCTGGCTTTTATACATTTAATACAAATGTAGAGGTGTAAAACCTTTTAATTAGGGGCTGGAGAGATGGCTCAGCGGTTAAGAACACTGGTTGTTCTTGCAGAAGACCCGGGTTTGAATCCCAGCACCCACATGGCAGCTAACAACTGATCGTAACTCCAGTTCCAGGGATCTGACGGCCTCTTCTCCTCCGTGGACATTGCACGACACGGGTGCACTCACCTACATGCAGGCAATACATTCATACACATAAAATAAAAATAATAAATAAATTGAAAAAAAACCTTTTAATTAGCTTACAAAATGATTGATATTGGGAGGAATAGAAGACAGACAGTGGGTGACTTCAGTACCCCATACTTTTCAGATTATTTTGACAGAAATAAACAGAGAAACATCTAAGTTAAAAGACGTCATAGGCCAGGTCTGGTGGCGCACATCTTTAATCTCAGCACTTGGGAGGCAGGGGCAGGCAGATCTCTGTGAGTTCGAGGCCTGGCCTACATAGTGAGTTCCAGGTCAGCTGGGGGCTACAGGGAGACCCTGTCTCAAAAAGACCAAAAAAAAAAAAAAAAAAAAAAAAAAGTCATAGATCAAATTGATCTCATTGCATCCAAATGCTCTACAGTACACATTCCTGTTTCTCTAAAACAGATGATATAATCAGAAACAAGGCAAGTATTAACAAATGGGAAAATTAAAATAATGTATTCTGCTTCATCACAATGGAATAGACTAGAAATCAACAGCAAGAGAAACTACAGAACATACCCAGGCTCTTCGAAATTGAATCACACTACTGAATCATTAATAGGTCACCAAACAAATCAAGAAGGAAATCAAGAACATTCCTGCAGTAGAATGAAAATGAACACACACCTAAACCTATGAGAAGCCAAGCAAGAGCAAAGTTTATAACCACAAGTACCTCCATTAAAAACCAGACAGGGCTCAAGCAAATAACATAATGGTATACTATAGGACTTTGGAAAAAACAAAAACAAGCCAAACCTAAAGTCAAGAGGCAGAAATAAGATCAGGACAGAAATAAATGAAATGGAAATTAAAACAATACATAGCATCAATTAAAAAAAAGACATACCTTAAAAGCTTATATTTCGTTCATTTGGAAAAATCTAAAGAAGATAGTATTTGGCCTACCAATATTAAACAAAGATGAGATAAACAATTTAAACATCTTTAAGAAGCAACAAAAAGGGGGTAGCTGGAGAGAAGGCTCATCAGTTAAGAGCCCTGACTGCTCTTGCAGAGGACCTGAGTTCGATTCCCAGCATCCACATGATGGCTAACAACCATCTATAGCTCCAGTTCCAAGGGATCCAATGCCTTCTTCTGACCTCTTTAGGCATTACACAACACAAGTGCACTTACACTCATGCAGGCAATACACTTGTATGCATAAAATAAATAATAATGAAATGTTTTTTTAAAAAGAAGCAACAATATGGTGAAGCTGTAATTAAAAAAAAAATGTCCCAACTAAACATAATCCTTGCCCAGATGGGGTCACTGATGAATTCTAATAGAGCTTTAAAGAAATAATACCAGGGCTTCTCAAACTGTTCTATAAAATGGAAAAAGAAGGCATGTTACCAAATAGTGTCTTTTTTTTTTTAATGAAGCCTACACTATAACAACAAAAAAGTATAATTCAGTCTTCTTGATAAATAAAACTTCTCAAACAATTGCAAACCAAATTTAAGAATACATCAAAGATACAATTCACCATAATCAAGTTGATACTATCCTAGAGATGCAGGGCTGGTTCATCATGTGCAGATCAATAGATGTTATATATCACATAAATGATCATAAGGGCAGATTATCACATGATCATCCCTTCATGAAGAAGTCCTGAGAATCAGAATAGGAGGAGCATACATTAACATCAGAAAGCTCTATATGACAGGCCTATGGCCAACATTATAACATGGGGAAAATCTCAAAACATTTTCACTAAAATCAGGAACAAGACCAGGGTGTCCTTTTTTCCTACTCAATATAGAGCTTGAAATCTTAATAAGAACAGTAAGAGAAAAAGAAGGAAGTAAAAGAAATACAAATAGGAAGGAATCAGAGTATCCTTATTTATAGATGATATGATTCTGTACATAAGACTCCAAAGCCTCCTCCAGAAGACTTTTGGATCTGATAGTCAACACTCAGTGACGTGGCAGTATGCAAAATTAACATACAAAAATCAGTGTCTTTCCTATATATACCAATAACAAACACACGGAGATAAAAACCACAGAACCCATTCACAATTGCTTCAACTAAAACAAAGAAAAATCCCCCCATGCAGTGGTTTGAATAAGAGTGTCCCCATAAGCTCCAAATATTTGGACATTTTCCCCCAGTTGGTGGTGCTGTTTTGGGAGGTTTTAGGAGGTTGTGGCCTTGCTAGAGGAAGAATGTTACTGGGGTGGGTGTTGAGAGTTCTTAAGCCTTGCCAAATTTCTAGTCTCACCCTGCTTCTTGTTCCTCCTTGAAAATGTGATTGCTTGGCTGTCTGCTCTGGCCACTTCTGCTTCCATGCCTTCCCACCATGACAGACTGTAAGCCAAATAAATTCTTCCTGCTCTAAGTTGCCTTGGTAATGATGTTTTATCACAGTAACAGAAAGGTAACCAGTATACCCCACCTTGGAAAAAACCTGTCCAACAAAGTGAAAAGCCTCTACAATGAAAACTGAAACACTAAAGAAATTAAAGGAAACACTAGATGATTGGAAGACCTTCCCATGCTTGTGGAGAAATTGATACTGTGAAAATGGCTATACTACCAAAAGCAGTCTACAGACTCAGTGTAATCCCTGTCAAAATTCAATGCCACTTTTTACAGAAACACAAAAAAATTAATCTTAAAATTCATTTGGAAGCACTGGGTAGTCAAAGCAATCCTGAACAAAAGAACAGTTCTGAATATGGTCAGCATTTTTTATTTCATGTCATGATACAGAACCATAGTTACAAAACTAGCATGGATCAGTCACATATTGCTCAATGGAATAGACTAGAATAACCAGACATAAACTCATACAACTGCAACCATCTGATTTTTGGCAAAGATGCCAAAACCATACATTGAAAAGAGAGCCATTTCAAGAAATGGGGCTGGCAAAACTGAATATATATATACATGTAGAACAAAACGAGATCCCCATCTCTCGTCCTATACAGAAAATCAAATCCATCTGGATTAAAGACCGTATTGTAAGTCCTGAAACTCTAAAACTGATTGAGGGAAAAGAAGGGAAAACACTTCAAGGTATAGGCATAGGCAGGGGCTTTCTCAGAGGGCTCTAGTTTATCAGGAAATAATATTAACGATTCACAAATGGCCCTTGGAAATTTAAAAGTTCCTGCACAGCAAAAAAAACAGTTGCAGAGGAGACAGCCTGTAGAATGGGAGAAAACCTCTGCCAGCTATACATCTAGCAGATATTTAGCATCTAAATCATACAAAGAACTAAAAAAAACAAAACACTAAATAAGAAATCGAACAACTCAGTAAATGGGCTAATGAATTAATGAACAAAAAGTTTACAAACTATGAAGATGAAGTATAAGTGGCCAGTGAACATGAAGAAATACTTGACCTTGCCATCAGAGAAGTGCAAACTAAAAATAAATTGACAACAAATGGTGGTAATGTTGCTGGTGGGAATGTGAACTATTCTAGCTACTATGTAAATTGGATCAGTATGCATTTGTTAGGAGAAGCTTAAGTGACTTGCTACCTGACACTATATTGTAACCACATAGCCATTGTCATTTATGATGCTAGCCAAATGCTGGACTCCAAGTGTAGGAGCTGTGAAAAGTCCAAAATAATTCAGTACATACTCTCAACCACGGAAGCCATCAATTACAGGTTTCAGAAAGTCTTTTCATTTTGTGAAAAAAGAAAGCTGTAGTCAGCTACTGGTTCAGATTTTAATTGCATTTTGGTTTTTCTTCTAGAAGTACAGTTAATAAACAGAGGTAACAACTGTATAGAGCTGAACTGAGGAAGCCTTTCATCTCTATATTACTAACAGACAATACCATGCTGGTCAGTGACAATTTTAGTTTAAGATGCTCATTAATACCATTTATAGCTATATATGTGAAATTTCAAAGCATGCAGTATTTCCAGACATGTTGCCACCGGAGTGAGAGATCAAGCTATGCCTTGTTTATAATGTATGATGTAATTAATATTAAAAAGGATACAGGATAAAAAGGTATCACATTAAAACTATATTTATACTGGGTATATTAGCTCATGCCTGTAAATCTCAGTATTTGGGAGGCTGAGGCAGCATGATCCCCTGGGATTCAAGGACAGCTTGGGTTATATGAGTTCTAGGACAGCCTGAACTGATCCTATCTCAAAACCAAAACAAAACAGCGTCTGTGTTCTTAGATTATGGCCCTGATTATAGCCTAGAAATGAAGCCTGAAACCGTGACGCAGTACTTTCAACTTGTATTTCTGATCCATTTATTTTCTAATTAGAATATTAAATGCAGTTTATCTTAAGCTCTATTAGCAGACAAGCAATCTTTACTTTTTCACTTCTGTGTAGTATTCAGATCAGTTTGTTACATGTACCAACAGAGCAATCAAAATATATTCCCCAAATCTATAGATTCTGGGAATTTTTATTAAAAGCAAAAGTACACACAATGAACCACCCCCTCCCATTTTTTTTAAAGATGAAAAGCAGTTTACTAGAAATCTATGAGGTACATTTATAGGTTTTACCTGGAAAACACACACACACACACACACACACACACACACACACACACACACGCGCGCGCGCTCTCGCATGCATATATACTTGTATTTACTTACATAAATATAGTAAGTTATATAAACTATATATCACATAAGACTTATACTGGGGGACTGGGGCACCTATGTACATGCAGACAGAACACTCATATACATAAAATAAAAAAAAAGAACTAAAAGGGTCCTCTTAAATAAAACCCTAAAACCTTAAACTATTTGAATAGAAGTTACATAGTAAAAGAGTTAGGAAAATACGATCATATATTTGAGATGCCATAATGTTTTGAGTGTACTTTTCTACCGAAATTTTATTTTTGAATACAAAATATATTTTAATTTTTTGGTTCATTTATTGAGACAGGGTCTCCCTGTAGCCATAGCTGGCCTAGATTCACTATGGAGATGAGGTTGACCTCTAACTCGCAGAGATCTGCCTGTGTCTGCCTCCTGAGTGCTGGGAGTAAAGATGTGTGCCACCATGCTCAGCTTTGAATACAAAATATATTAACTAGATAATTAACCACTGTTATAGTTAATGATTTTAGCTGTCTCCTTTCCACTAAGTTTTCAGTTGTGTTAGGTAACTATGAATTTTAACCCAGAGTTATCACTCAGATGCTATACATGCAAAGTGATAAACATTTTGAAATGAACAAAAATTGGATTTTTTTCTTTTTTTTGTCTTTTTGAGACAGGGTCCCCCTGTAGCCCCAGCTGTCCTGTAACTTACTACGTAGACCAGGCTGGCCTTGAACTCACAGAGATCTGCCTGCCTCTGCCTCCCAAGTGCTGGGATTAAAGGTGTGCGCCACCACACCCGGCCAAAAAATGTTTTTTTTAAAAACATTTTTAAGGGGCTGGAGAGGTAGCTCAGCGGTTAAGGACACTGACTGTTCTTGCAGAAGACCTGGGTTCAAATCCCAGCACCCACATGGCAGCTAACAATTGTCCTTAACTCTAGTTCCAGGAGATCCAACAGCCTCTTCTGTCCTCTTCGGGCATTGCATGACACGGTGCATTTACCTACATGCAGGCAATACACACACATAAAATAACAAATAAAAATATTTAAAAAAATAAAAACATTTTTAAAAATTAACTTTTATTTTATGTGTCTGGCCTGCATGTATGTAGGTGCATTCGTGTCATGCAGTGCCTGCAGAAGTCAGAAGAGGGTGTTGGATCCCCTGGAACTGGAGTTATAAAGACGGTTGTTAGCTGCCATGTGGGTGTTGGGATTTGAACCTGGGTCTTCTGCAAGAGCACCCAGTATTCTTAACCGCTGAGCCATCTCTCCAGCCCCTGAAATAAACAAAAGTTTTTAAACTTAAGTTTTATTTTTTTTTCAAAATCCCATCTCTTTTTTTGAGACAGCATCTCACTATGTAGCTGGCTGACCCAGAACTCTCTATGTAGGCCAGGTTGGCCTCTGCCTTCTGAGTGCTGGGATTAAAGTCACATGCCACCATGCCTGACTACCTCACAGTTCTTTTTTTTTCTTTAAAGTAAATTTTTACAACATTTATACAATATATTTTGATCGCATTTAGATCCCCTCCCCTATCAGAACCCCTCTTATACCCCCCCTACCCGCCAGATTTCATGTGCTCTGTCATATATTTTAAGACCTACTAAGTCAAGTTTGTATCCCCAAATGTCCCTTGGGGTGCATCCATCCACTGGAGCCTGGTTAACCTATCTGGTGTCACATCCTTAAAGAAAACCAACTCTGTCCCAGGAGTTAGCATTTGCCAATTGTTTCTCAACTAAGGTTGGGGTTTCTTACCCATTTCCCCTTCTGTTCTCTGAGTGTACCACTTACTACTCTTTTTGCAACAGCTGCACAGAGAGTGTCTGTGAAGTGTCTAGCCTTAAGTGACACACCTACAATGTAGCCTCTACACCTAAGGCTCAGGGAACATAGTGGAACAGGGGGCAGAGAGAATACTAATGCATCTCTCAACTCTCACCAGTGAAGCTTCCCCATGAAACAGATGGCGATTAACCTGGAAAGCCACAACTGGCCAAAGTGCAGAGAATAAGAGACTAGTGTTTATCCGTAAATAGAACACATATAGCAAACCTCTGCCTCCCATGTCTCAGGGACCATTTTGGAAGAGGAAAGAATGGGTGGATGACCACAAGAAACCAGAGACAGCTGATCAATTACTCATATGAACTCACAGCAATGGTAACAGCATGCCAAGCCATGCAAACTCAAGCCCTTACAGTTCTTAATCCATTGCACTTACTGATGCAAATTCATACTGTGCCACAAAATAACATGTATGTCATATGCTTTCACTGTATTTTCTTCAGCCATTATACCTACACTACCCTCATGCCAAATTTCAAAATCTGTCCCAGCTGTATTTCTTTGATTCCTTTGCATTGCTTTCTGCATCATTGGTATTCATTTGACTTCTGGGTACTCTGTCACCATTATGCTTCCATCATTAATGTACTGTCTTTCAGGCTGGTTTCCATCCTTTTGTTCTTAATTACAGTTTGTTCAGCTTTTTAAAAACTCAAACTAAACATAAACTAAAATTTAAGATGATGACTTCAGTCATTTGAAAGAGTGAATTTGGGATGTTAGAAAATTAGTTTGCTTCAGGTCCCATAGGGTTTAGAATTGAAAGAACACTAGCCTTGACCAAGAGAGTTTCTCTAGAACGAGCTGTGCTCTTGATGTTCTTGCCTTTGATGCTCTGATTCCTAGTCATTGCTATGCTTCACAGAGGCTTAGATGAAATTTCCAGTACTAACAAAAGGTTTGATTCACATAAAAGCACTGACTGTTTTAGTACTTTTGGTTTGCATAGACATTAACCTCAGGAGTTAACACTTTTCCATTTGGAAAATGAAACTGCTATCATATGGTGGTTCTCAATCACATGGATGTGGATTGTCTTTTGGGAATTAGCCTTGGTTGTTATAGCTTTAGCAGATACTTGCTCACACCCAGAGCTTCGGGGTCAGATGGATCTGAGTTTGAACCCTGGCCTTACCACTTATTAGCTGGCCTAGTGTTCTTTGTAGACCAGGCTGGCCTTGATCTCACAGAAATCCCAGGTGTTGGGATTAAAGACGTATTCCACCATGCCTGTTTTAAGATTATCTTTAAATCTCTGTTTTCTTATAACATATGTATCTCAGAGGCTGGTGCTGGTGCTGGGGATATAGATCAGTGGTAGAGCTTGTGCTTAGGATACACAAGGCCCAGGGTTTAGTCCCCAGCACCAAATAAGTAAAAAGTATATATGTGTGTGTGTGTGTGTGTGTTTATACACACAAATTGAGAATATGTGAAGTGCATGGGCATATGGCATAGAAGGCACTCAGATACTCTCTTTTTGTGACAATTTTGAAATTCCATTTATGTCACAGATGGAAAGAGGAAAACTTGCAGGGTGCACATCCATTCACTGATGTGTTAGGTCTGGAGACTGCAGTGAAGCAGACTAATAGGGAAATCGTATTTTATTTTGAGAGTTTTCTTAAGTGCCAGCTGCTACTGTTAGATGCTTAGAATTTGAACATTTAATTATTATAGTTCTGGGTACTGACTCTGACCAGTTGAAGGAAGAGCAACCACATGATGACTATAGAAAATGTAAGGTATTGCTATTTCTCTTTCTCTCTCCCCCCTCCCCTATAGTGTATGCACATGTCTATGTGTGTCTGTACTTGCACACCTGCTTGTGTGCATGCATGGAAGCCAGAAGAGGAAGTCAAGTGTTCTATCACTCTCTGCCTTGTTCCTTTCAGACAAGGTCTCTCACTGAACCTGGAGGTAGGCTGGTGGCCAGTAAGTCTTAGTGATCGTGTCTCCATCTTCCACAGTGCTAAGGTCCCAGATGACAGCTGGCATGCCAGCTTTTTACATGGGGGTCTGGGATCCAAACTCCTAGCAAGTGTTTTTACCCTATAAACTATCTCTCCAGTGCACTGTTAGTTCTGTTTATTAAAATTCTGTTCACTGTTTTTGTTTGTTTCTCCAGCCTCCGTTCCGTGCCTAACACATCTTTGCCGTTTGAAAATTCGGTGCTGTCTAAAAGCAGAACACCTACGATCTGACAGTATCATCCGTCAGTTGCCCCTTCCCAAAACCCTGCAGAACTATTTGCTCTATGAAGAAGTTCTGAGGATGAATGAGATTCCAGAATTGGCAGCTGTTATTGATGGAGAAATCAGTGAAGCAACTTAACACAGTTCATTTCTTGACTCTGAAAAACATTGAAACAAAAAAGCCATGGGTACAAATTGTCTGTGATTTTTATAGTCATAAATGATGACTTTTGTTTGTGTGGTTGGTTAGATTTAGGGGGTAATAGTAAACATAGCTTACAACTGGGTTTCTCACAAACAAACAAACAAACAAACAAACAAACAAACCTGCCTCTACTTTACTTATCCCAGTTTATTTGAGCTTCACCACCAGTGTACTTTGTGCTGTAACATTGATTTACCCGAGCGTTACTGTGCTTTATTCTGCTGGTGGATTCTGATGTTGCTTCTGGTGCTGGGCCTGACATGTTTCCACTTGGGATTCATGGTCACCTGTGGGAGAAGTTAAGAATGGAATGCATAAACCTTCACTGAAGAATGCATAGCTGTGAGGTTGATTTGCTTATTATTGTTACTGTTTTATTTGGGACAAAAATCTTTTACGTTTATAAAGAGGAAAAGGTTTTCTACTTTGTCATGTTCTATAGTTATTTCTTAATCCAGTCATTTTAATGAAGCATTGATGGGCGGGCATCGCCTTTTCACATGTAAACTCAGGGGAGGTTTTTTAAAAAGAGCATAATCATATTGCTGGATCTTACCCCTAGTTCTTTCCTTTATACTGTGGAAAAGTATACTCCATTTTTCATCTGCAAAGGCAAGAACACACATGAACTCAAGGGCACACTCAGTTAAAAACAATTTTAAAGCAGTTTTAGAAGCATTTTACAACACTTAGAAAGTTAATAAGGAAGCTGAGGGGTCATTTGTATAGTACCATCATTAAAGAAAGAAAGAAAAGTGCATATCGCAGCTACTTAGTGTTAAATGCAACAGTCAGGCTCCATTCAGTTCCAGAATAAGAGAACAGCTTTGCTCCTGTGAATCATTAATAGCCAATTCTGTTAATATGATATTTTTCCTTTTGAATGTCTGGATAGACTTTCAGACCATCCATGAAAGAAAAACCTCAGAATCCTAGGTGAATAAGGCACTGCCTCATTAGTGTTTACAATTGTTTTATCTAAATCTAGAGTCAGGAAAAACGAAACACAGGATGAAGTCAGTGGGCTAAGAGACTGGGAACCAGCCTTTGAGAGGAAGGTGTTAGGCAAAGACAGGTTTCCAGGGCATGCAAGTCCACCTCTGACCTTTGACGAAGCAGTGAGAGGTAGACTGAATGAAGATCCGTTAGCATGACTGAGCTCATTCCTCACATTAGAATTGATGTGGAATGTGGGTGTACTGAAAACCAGGTGCAGATTCTGGTAGTTGAGTTTAATAAAGATGTTTCAAAATTTCATGCACTGTGTAGTATTTTTAAAATATTGTAACTTTTTTTTCAAACCCTAAGGTTTGAATTTTTATTTGTTTAGGACCAAGTGTACATAGAATGATTAAATTTGACAATGTATCTTTTAATGTATTTTGTTCATGTTCAAATATAAAATAAAATCTCAGTTTTCCTTAGGTTATCATTAAGCTCTTATTTTTAAAGATTTGAAAGTCAATACAGATGTGGGGCTGGAGCGATGGCTCAGGGGTTAACTGCTCTGTCAGAGGACCTGGGTTCAGTTCTTAGCACCCACATGATACTGTCCTTAACTCCAGTTCCAGGGGATCTGACATCCTCTTCTGGCCTCCATGGGCAGTACACACACATGATGTACTTATGTGCAGGCAAAACATTCACACACATAAAATAATAAATTTTTTGGGGGGCATTATAAAGATTTTTATTACTGCTTATATCAGTAATAATTAGTTATGTCTGCTTTCACAATGAGGCTAGAGAGTGAACTAACACATCACAGATAGCAGAAACCTTGCATGCATGTATATGATTTATATTTAGTACACTAATCAGTATTGTGCATATTTAGTAATAATTTAGGGCTCCCTTGGACCCCTCTGTAGAATATTTACATAAACTAAACAAAAAACACATTTGATAGCACAAAGCATTGTGTGACTGTAATTATCAACAGTATCTGTCAATTCAGTTATAGTTACAGGTGCACACTACTTAGTCTAATTCTCACAACCTCAAAAGCAGAAGAAATATTTTTTCAAAGTTATTTGCTTCAAGTCATATAAGAAGTCTGGGACTACGGGTTGCCTAGCTGGTACGGTGACTGACTTCCAAGCACAAGGATCTTAGTTCGGTCCCCAGAACCCACATGAAAACTGGTGTATGCTTGTAATTCAGTGCTGTAGACACAGAGACACAGGGATGCCTGGGGCTTACTGGCCAGCCAGCCTAGCTTACTCAGTGAGTACCAGAACAGGAAGAGACCCTGTCAGAACATGGATTGAATTCTCAAGGAATGATGGCTGAAGTCGTTCTCTGGCCTCCACATGCATATACATACGTATACATACACATGCATGTACACACAAGCACATCCCACACACACATTTAATAAAAAGTCTGTGAGCCAGACAGGATTTTATCTCCTCAGAGTCTGTCTTTCTCATAAATGTAAATGCATGTTAGTTGCAGTCTAGTGCAGTTGGTTCCCTGGTGTGAATTTTACAAAGAGAAGTACTCTGGTTTAGGTTTCATCTGAAGCTGTCTTGCTGCGGGAAAGAACGAGACTGCCCCTTTCCCCACTCAATACAAAGGCCATGGATGTAGTCATTGCGTTGATCTGTATATGTTTACAGTCTCTAAAACATACACTTTACATTTGTATATAGTAAAAACATTACTCTTTTGGTACACAATTCTGTGAGTTTTGATACATGCACAGAGTCCTGTAACCAGCATGCCAGTCAAGATACAGAATGTTTCCCCAAATTCTCTTGTGTACCTACTTTGTATTCAAACTTTCCCTTCACCCCTAACCTTTCCAACCTTTTCATTTAGTTTTTCTCATCTAAATTGTCATATAAATAGAATTGTGCAGTATTCAGCCTTTTGAGTCTGACTTCTTTTTCCTAGAGTAATTCACTTGTGATTCTCCCTTATCAGTGACTGTACCAATAGTCTAATCCTTTTCATTGCTGAAGTGAGCGCCTTTGTTTTTAAATATTTCTTAATTGAGTTTTTGTGCATTTCATGTAATAAGATCTCAATCAAATTTAATCACCCTTCCCCATCTGTGCCTTCCTCCATAACCTCTCTCCCATTGGATTTCATGCATTCTGTTATATATGTTAAGTCCTTTCTGGTCAAGCATTTGTACCCCAATGTCTTTCGGTGCAAATTCATCCACTGGAGTCTTAGTTGGTCTTTCTAGAGTCTCTCCCTTAAAGAAGATCTACTCTCTCACACCCAGCAGTAATCCTTTGTCAATATTTCCTAGGCTAGGGTTGGAGCCTGCTGTCCATTTCCCTCATTCTATGCTGGGTTTTGGTCTGATTGTGTTGGCATGCATCTTATGCATGCTGTCACCATTTTGCAAGTTTATATGAGCAAGTTCCCAGTAGCCTGAAATCCTCTGTTTCTTTATGTTCATGCACCAACCTTGGCTCTTTCCACACCCTCTTCTGCAGTGGACCCTGAGCCATGGGTGGGTGAGTTTTAATGGAGGAATCCTTTCCAGGGACACACACTCTGCGATCTTTTATTCTCTAAAACTTAGCTAGTTGTGGCCTTCTGTGTGCGTCACACTCTTGTATGAGGAAGCTTCGCTGTCAATGAGTTGAAGGATGTATTAATATTCTCTCTACTCCCTGTTCCACTGTGTTCCATGAGCCTTGGGTGTAGAAGTTTCACTGTAGATATGTCACTTAGGGCTACACATCTTTCAGATGTATATTCTGTGTGTGTGACCAGTTGTGGAACTCTGTAATAGCCTCCATCTGTGCAAAAAGAAACTTCTTTGCAGCTGGAGAGATGGCTCAGTGGTAGAGAGCACTGGTTGCTCTTGCAAAGGACCTGGGTTCGGTTCCCAGCACTCACATGGTGGCTAACAACCATCTATAACTCCAGTTCCAGGGAAATCTTACACCTTCTGTTGTCTGCCGGCATTGCACAGCACAGGGGCACTTACCAACATGTAGACAATACACTCATAAAATTAAAAATAATTTTTTTTTAGAAAAGAAACTTCTTTGACCAGTGGTGTATAGTATACTTGTCAGGGTAGTAGGCAGATGGGTCTGTATCAGGCAGATCAGGAGGCCAGGGGCAAGGTGCGGGTAGGGACAGCCTGTGGAGGGTCTAGCAAATGATGCTAGAGGGTTAAGCTAGTCTGGATTTAGTAGGCTAGTCTGGAGATCTGAGGCCAAAGACTAAATAAAATATTTTTAGAGATGAGTTAGTACAGATGGTCTCTGATGAGTTTTTGACTTTACACTAGTTAAAAATGTGATAAGCATTCAATGGAAATGGTCCTTTGAAGTTTGAATCATGAGCTTTTCCTGGGCTAACAATACATAGTATGAGATTCTCTCAGGACTCTGCTGAGGCTGAGCAGTGGCAGCAAGCTGTGGCTCCCAGCCAACCGCGTGATCACCAGGGTAAGCAGCTGCTACTCTGCAGTGTTCTTTGATGTCAAGATACGATACTCAGTAGATGAGAGGTATTGAGTGAATCTTCAATTACTATATTTTCAATTTATGGTGATATTTTAGAAACATTTAAGAAACTTTTGGAGGGCCTGGAAAGATGGCTTCAGGCTTATGAGTGCTTCTGGCTCTTCCAGAGGACCAGAGTTCCCAGCACCCACGTTGGGCAGCTCACAATGGCCTGTAACTCCAACTCCTAGGGATCCAGCACCCGCTTCTGGCTTCTGTGGACACCCACACATGATATATGCTCACACAGACACATACATTCATAAAAATAAAAGTCTTAAAAGGGGAGAAGCCTTTGGTGCTTGTTTATTTTTGTTCTGTTTTGTTTCTGTTTGTGAGACAGGGTCTGAAGCCCAGGCTGGCCTGGAACCTTGTGAAGGTAGTTACCCCTGTCCCTTTCCTCTCTGCTTTCTGCTAAGCATCTTTATTGTCCACCAAACATGGGCTGAAAAACTCCCATACTATGAACTCAAATAAAATCTTTATTCCTTTAAATTAGTTATTATTAGGGTTCCAAACAGCAGCAGCTTCCCCCCTCCCCAACAGGGACCTACGGACTTTTGGTGCCCGAAAAAGGGAACTGAGCTGATAAGCACCTTGGCCTTTGAAGTCAAGGGAAACAAACTCTGCTGAGAAGCAGCCTGCCTTTCCTCTGATCTCCAAAGACAAGATAAGCAGATTCTACCTGTTAAGAGCTGATAAGCACCTTGGCCTTTGAAGTCAAGGGAAACAGACTCTGCTGAGAAGCAGCCTGCCTTTCCTCTGATCTCCAAAGACACGATAAGCAGATTCTACCTGTTAACCAGAGATTTTAGAAGCTGTGTAACACAACAGCTTTTCCCTTATCTTAAGAGGAAAGAAGTAAACACTTCCAGACCCAGATCCTGCCTGGCAGACTGAAAGGAGCCAGGTTTACAAACCCTGCTTTTCCTGCTTCCCCCAGCTTGATTTTTCCCTCAAAACTCTCCCCTCTTCTGCACCCTAAAGCCCCCGTATATAAGTCCCAGCTCACAACCCGTGGGCTGACATCTTTCCCTTCCCGGAGGGAAACGTGTCCCGTGCGAAATAAAGTTCTATCCTGCTGAGAGTTCTATCTGTGCCTCGGTGCCTCCTCCATCCGCTCGCTCTCCCCACCCCAACTTTTTTACCTATCAGTTATCTCAGGTATTTTGTCACAGCTGTGGGAAAATGACTGATACTGTGATTTTTTTCTACCTTATTGTATGCGATGTATCTTTCTTGTAGACATTTGTATATTAAGATATGATTTTTATGACTCAACAAGGACTCAGTGAAAAATGTTATCTATCTAAAAGCATGTCAGAGGTGAGTTGTAGTTATAGGCTTTAATCAAAATGATACATCAAATTACATGAAGCTTAAGCCCTGCCCTATGTACATAGTGGTGCTTTAAAACTTCAAAGTTTCAG